TGCAGCGTGCCTGGGAAGGAGTGAGGAGTGCGGCTTTTCCAGAACTTTGCTTTCTGTCGTGTGTGTTTTGGGGAAATGTCTAGGCAGGGCTCAGACACGGGCTGGATAACCTCCCGGGATAACTTCCTGGACAACTTTTATATGGTTCGCCCTCGGCGCGGAGGGTATGGAAGATTGTGCATGTGTTTTCTTTTTGAGAAGCTTGCCTCCTTTCTTGCTGAGTGTGAGGGAGAAAATATGACTTCCTTCAATGTAATTTTAGGCTAGAGTGCATAGCTTAGTCTGTAAAAGATCAAGCGTGGAAAAGGAGAACAACAATACTGACCTCTGTCTGGAGTGAAGGAAGGTATTTGACAGATAGGATGAGAATAGAACATGGTTTGCTGCAAGTCTTTTTACAGTGTCGGCTAATATATGGCTTGTTACTCGTAGCTTAGATTTATTATGATCAGGTGACAGACCTCAAAAAGACATTTTGCAAGTGTTTCTGGAAAATAGTACAGTGCTACCACTACAGCTGGTCCAAGATGCAGACTGATTATAATTGATCTAGCTTTCTGATGCATGCTATGCTGTGGAAAGCAAGCTTCATCTCTCAGCTCATGTTGCAAGAAAAAGAGATAGAGAAGTTTAAAAAGGATATGGGGGGGGGGAAGGATCAAAGAACAGGAAAGGAACATCCCACCGCTGTTCCACAGCGGTGGTAACAGAATTGTATGGGACTTCCAAGCTCAGAAGATTTTGTGAGTGAAGGGGGGAGTGAGTGTATTTTGCAACGTAAACGTTCTTAAGGGGAATGAATAAGTTCAGAGGTCCAATATGACACTTCCATAATTTGTCTTGAGTGACGACTCCTTTCTTAAAATCTTTGAGAAGATGAACTGATTTGGCATTGGTTTTGGATTTATTGCATAGCAAAAAAAAAAAAAACCCAAGTAACTAGCAAGGCTAATCTTATGAGCTGGAGATATAATAGCTTCTGTACAGAGCATTGAATATTAAGGCTCTCCATTACCAACTAGAGAATAACTGGGTGGCATGGCCATTCCTACCAGCAGTGACTCAGGGCAAAACAAAGAAAAGACTTTCAGATTTCTCAGTGCTTTATCAAAAAAATAATTGAAATACAATCTTTTGTATTAATGGTTGTGGTCATTTTCATTATTTGCAAGCCTTTTTGTAATCCAAGAGGCCCCTCAGGATGGAAGAAGGAAGTACTATGATTGCTACAGGACTTAAGAATTTTCAGATGCATAACATGTATTATTGTCTGTGACTATCAGCTGAGACTGTCCTTGCAGTCCATATGGCACTAGGGTCTAGCTGCTGTGAATTTGTCATTTTGTTGTAGGGGATATTACTTTCCAGCTATGTAGGTGCCATCTTTTAGAAACATTTTTTTTGTAAGACTGTTTGTGCTACTAACTACTTATGTTACTTAAACTTACTTATAGTGAATGGATAAAGAAGAACTGGGTTTTTTTCTGTCTTCAGTTTTATTTAATGTATTTGACTTAGTTTTTTCCTATTTTCCTGGGTCACCATGGGGAGAAGACATAGGGCAAAAATCACTGAATAAACTAGAGAACTGAGCAAATGTAATACTTGAAGTTATATTTGACTCCTTTTTACAATGGATTAGATTTCTAATTGATGTTCCTTTTTAAAATCAGTTTTACAAGCATTCAGTGTGTAATTTTTTTAATCTACTCTTTTTCACTGAAGGTGGAGACACGCTACAGTAACTACAGTGAGATACCTCTGGATATTAATTTTGTTTTTCAGTTAATTGCAAGCCTGATAATTGCCTTACTGAACCTGAATCTTTCAGCTTTACTGTTATGGCTCTGGCTGCTACATTGCTGAGCAGTGCTTTCATACGCGGTAGATGCTGCAGGCACAAAGTCTTGCATCCTTTTCTTGGACCTCTCCTCATTGAGTCCGTGTCAAAATCGTATAGCAGCTACAGGAGGCCAGGATCACAGCCTGAAAAAACACCATCTTGGCAAAAGATTGATTTCAGTTTTAAGAAGGGAATAGATGTCTTAAAGACTCAACTAGGACTGCTGAAGAAGGAGAGCAAAGATCACTTAATCGGACCTGAAGGCCGTCCACTCAATGAGTACATCTTAGAACAGACAAGGGTTGTGTGGGTATTTCGGAGCCAAGAAGATTTAAATAAATGGGTAATTTCCTCTGATGTAGAGATTGGAGGGAAAAGTGAGGTCTACCTAAAACTGGGTAGGAATAACCAGGCTGCTCTGCTATATGGGACCCTCAATACTGAAGTACCTCGTGACGGGGAGACAAAATACAGTGGATACTGTAGTATGAGATCCAAACCACCAGTGGTAAGTACAGCTTATTAGCATTTGTTATTTAAGCAGAGAACTCTTTCCTGTAATGAGAACAGGAACAGGGGGAGCTTTTGGTAACATTCTCACCCCTATAAGGACAAACGACCTCACCGTCAGGAACATTAGGTATTCCTTCATCAGTCCCATCACAGATGTAGTTGCTGCTGTATCCTTTGACCTGGAATGAACTTAAACTTCTTCTCAGATTTGGTTCTCCTTTCTTAGAAGAGGAATATTTTATGTTTAATCATTTAGTACTGTACAATAGGAAATCTGCTCATTAATACAGGCCACATTAATACAGTATGCATTCTCCTCGCAAATGAAGGATTAGTGATGAAACTTCATATCCAAAATTGGTGTGATTAAAATAGATGAGTCTTTCTAAATTGGAAGTTAATCGAATGTGTCATAAGAAAAAATTTTCCGGGCTTTAACTCAGCCTATTCATCAAACTCTTGTTTTAGGTGAATGAACTAGTCTTTTCTTTCTCATAGAGACAAAAGTGCTCTGAAATCTGCTTTTTAAAGATCTGAGACCTAAAAGATGTCAGAAAAAGCAAGAGACAAATCTCTGGTAGCTCTAAATTGAGCAAAACAGAAGCAGAAATGCATGTGCTTACTATTGATACTGCTGTTTTCCTTCTTTTTTTAAACATCTTCAAAAAGCAAAAGAACATTTTGACTCGGTGTATAAAATACTTACCTTTTTTGTCTGTTCTGTTGTTTGTGACTTGACACTAGAACACGGACAAAAAATTTTTTCTGAGCTAGAAATTTGGAGAACGGAGAACTTGAGCAAGCAAAATCAATGGGAAAATGAGAGGTAGATGAACACTGATTAAAATGACAACACTGATTCAGGGGAGCAGAACACTGTGCTGAATCTCATCTGAGTTAAATTCCCAGGACTGCTACCGGCTTGTGCAAATGTGACTCAGTCTTTTGTTTCCTAACTCTGAGGCAGTGGAGGTATCAATCCATCTTTACGATACAGTTTGAGGTCAGAGGATGAAGACATAAATTCAAAGTCTGGGGTGGGGGAACTGCTTGTTGTTATTTTTCGTTTGGGCGGGGTTTTTTGTTAATTTTTAGGTTGAAAGCCTCAAAACTGGCAAAAGCATAAAATCAACAGAGCCCTTGTATTAAGGTATTGATTATCATTAGTCATCTTTCCTGTAAGATGAATTGATAAAAGGAAGGTTGATAGGTAACCATAGTGCTGCAAAACAGAGGGGAAACCTCTGAATTTTTGGTGCTATTTTTGACTCGGCTTAAGCAATTCTGGTCAAGAATAGCCCTGCCACCTACAATTGCTGCAGTGACCTCAGAAGTTTCTGAAGGTTCCTGGATCTGCCTATGTGCAAATTGCAATGCCTGGACTTTTAAGATCTTCAGTAAAAAATTCAGATGAGACTTAGCTATGCCTGTAATGCATATCATTATGCACAGTTAATGACAAAGAGGTTGGAAAACACACATGTGGTTTCAGTGCTCAAGTCAGTTGTTAATAAGGGAAGTTATCACGGGGGTAAGTTATCCCACTTCTGTTTCTTGCAGCTTCCTCTGGATAATCTAGTACTGACACAGAATATTAAACTTCATGAACTGCAGGCCTGGTCCATCATTGTAGCATTTTTGTACTTGCCTGGTCGGGAATTTGGTCCTAAGAAGGATGTCTCATTCCCGATAGTTACACTGTTGTGATCTATAATTAAAGCATGGGTCTTTAGAGTGATGATACTGCATTTTGTGGGCTTTAATACAGTGCTGAAATTCAATGAGACCACTGACTAGTATGATGAAAGAGTAACCCAGTTTCCATTACATGACTGTAGCTACCATCTGAAATAAGAACAAGGAAAGTGATCAAAGCAGTAGTATTCTGTTTTTCATGATGAAAATTCCCATTTAAGGGTTAAGCAGGAATAATATTATTTATTAATGTTTTGTAGGGATCTTTTGCTAAGAAGAAATACTATGACTGGTCAAACTTCAATAGTCTGTATTTACGTGTCCGTGGTGATGGCAGACCTTGGATGGTAAACATTTATACAGACCCCTACTTCTCTCATCAAAAAGATGATCTGTACAACTACTTCATGTTCACCAGAGGAGGGCCATACTGGGAGGAAATAAAGGTAAATTAATGACTCCTTCAGTAAATCTAAAAACAAAAAAACTAACTCTCTCAAATATGTTACTGTTTTAGAGGTTTCTGAAACAAAGAGAGTCCAAGGGTTCTGGCCCTACCTCTGTGAAACAGTAATTCTTTCAACAGTCATACTTTGTTTCCATTTAAATGCCTTGTCTATTTAAAAATGCTTCTGTTACACAATGACTAATAATCCTGTACAACAGCTAGAAACATCCATCACAGGACAGCATGGGACTGGGGCTAGCTACAAGAAGTTAATGAAAGAATTATTAAGTGTGAAAGAATAATTATTATTATTATTTCTCTGTGGCAGTTCTACGTACCTGAGTGGTGCTGGTACCAAATGTAGACCGTTATTTTGTTTAGTAAGGCAGGCTTGTCTCTGTAAGTTTTTATTTTATGTACTGTTGACACTAAAGTCTATATTTTTTGCTATCAGATTCCATTCTCCAAGTTCTTTCTCTCCAGTCGGGGAAGAATCCAGGATGACCAGCATCCTCTCTGGTTAGACAAGGCAAGTTCTGTATAGGTCTCATCTCTCTGAAATTTCCCCTAAAATTATTTTGTCACAATATAGCTAATTTAGAAATCTTTGGAACATCTAACTTTTATGAATTTGAAAATGAAGTTTCCCTCCACTCCTGTTATATGGTACTTATTTTTGTGTGCTTACCTTTGCCTTTAAACTATCTTACTTTGTAGTTATAATGTCAGTTTACTTTGAAGTAGCTCCAGATTCTTTTTTTTTTTTCTAAGCGGAAATAACCAAGAAACATCTCACAACTTATTTGACTTTTTTAAAAGCCCCCCCTTTTTTTTTTTTGAAGATCTGATCAAAGTCATTGAGAAAACTAAAACGTGAGTTGACAAAGTACTGTCAAAAACAGTAGAAGTAGATATATATCATAAACTTCCTTTCTGACAGAAGATTGTAAGGGATTATTACAGGATTCTATGTGAGAATATACTTAACATCAGTGACCTTGATGGTGAGCAGTAAACTGACATATAGTAGGAACTGTTTTAGTTTCATCAGACTTTATAGCCTAAGTATTAAACAAATTTGTTGCATTTTTTTTATTTCTGCAAATAGATTGATTCATTTCACTAGTTAATGGGGGGAGACAAGTTGGAAGAAATTGTTTCTGTATGTGTGGGGGTTTTCTTTTTCCTTCATTTCAGTGACTTGAGAAAAACTTCTATATGTAACTGAGGGCAGCCTAATACCCAATGACTATCAAAAGAAAAACAAATAACGTTAGGAATTCATTAGGGGAGAAAAAAAGGCCCATTACATGAGTCAGTGTTTGAGTTGCCTAGAATCCTACATTGAGTTCCAAATTGCCTTAACAAAAAATAATTTAGGAAAAAGAAGGCAATTATATAAAATATAAAAGGCCTATGTTTAAATACAGGCACTGAAGAATTTAACAGGATTTGGAGTATATAATCCAATCAGAATGGTTAATGAAACTATAGAACTACATTGAGTGTTACTTGAAATGTTTACTAGGGAGTTAAAGGGATAAAATGGTACTTGATCTAAGCATTCCTCCCGCCCTAGTTTTCTTCCCTTGTTGTCTTATGCTTAGTATTTCATAGACAGAATAATTATGATTCCGGTAAAAATCATGAATTTGGTATTTCTCATAATACAATGTATAGTTTTACCAATGCATTTTCATAAGCCTATAAATAGGGAAAGCAGCATGAAGTCAATTAAAGTATATTACAGAGATCTTGATAAAACATCTGTCTTTCATGTTACTGTATGTTTTCCCAGTACCAACCACAGGAAACATGGGTGGGTAAACAGGAATAAAAAAGCAGGAAATAGTCATTGTATCTAGGGTTTGCAAAGGAATAAATTCCTTAGAGGATAGAGCTTAGGTAGGTGACTCCCACAGTCATCTGAAACAATAGGATGCAGAGAGATGTAGCTTTAAAAACTCTTCAGGCTGTATAAATGCCAAGAGGCAGATTACAGTTTGATTCTGAGCAATGTTGCTGCAATAAAGCAGCTGAAACACTAGAACAATCTGAGAGGGATGTTAATGTGTTTAATTAAAAGTACTTTTTATTGTAACCATAATAAATTCCAGAAAAACGGCTGTGGCTCAGGCATGCTTCCTATTAGCCTGTAGCTTGCCAGAAAGCTTTCTTGGTTATTGTATATTGCCACTCCTCTTTCATAGCCTCTGGCATTATCATTTCTCAGAAGAAATCAGATAACTCAGAGGAGGAGCATCTATTAAGCAGTAGGTACCCCTGAGCTGTGCCAGGGGTTCAAGTCCATCTGTATCCATGATTTTAAGGACTGCTGTATATACAGAAAAATAATGCCTAGGATGTCAGATTATTCAACTTTGACCACAGGAATTGAGGATAAATATGTACTGCAGATAGATGCTAAGTAAATAATAAAACAAAGAAAATAAAGAAGTTGGCAGGGTGGTGAGGGAAAACAGTAAGGGAAGGGAATGTGAGACATTCTTCTATTTCAGAACATTAGACAGTCTGATTGGGGAACAGTGGTTAAGAAACTTGCCTTAACATAAAACTAAGTAACAAAGTGCCATGCATACCTGTTTTGGCATATTTTCACATTTATACCACATATTTAACTTTATCTACAATGAAAGCTCCCTTCAATGCTTAAATACATCTTATGTATATTTCTCATCTTGAAAATGTAACAGACTTTAAAAATGTACTTGTTCAAATAGTTGATCATGATGAAACTAGCTAGTTGGATAGAAGTCCCAGAATTGACCCAGGCTGAGATCTTTATTTTGAATAAATACCACTGTTCAGAAGGGATGGCCATAGACAGACTTTTGTAAAAATATGGAAGTGTGTTTGCTTTCAGCATTATTACAAACACTATTTTAATATATGCATTTTAAAATTAGATTAGTACCCTTGGATTCACACTGGGAGATAAAGTAGATGGACCATTCCAGTTGGAGATCGATTTTATTGGCCTGATCAATGACAGAGCTCACACAGAAGAATTTGCATATGAGAAATATGAAAGGAATCCTCAAGTCTAAGATGGTCTTGGTGTCCTTTGGAATATACTTCAGCAGCTTATTAGTTTTTTTTGTAACTCTCCTTAAAGTGTGGTTCATAACAATTTGAAGATTATGTAAATACTAAAAAGTTAAACGCATGAAGTGTTGTCTGTAGTAATCTGACTGCTAGCATCTTCTAGCTGTCAAAATGCAGAATCCTAGACAGACTTACGTACATGGACTGGAATGGAACATGGCCTGAGGCAAGTTGTGATACATATTTACAAAGTAGTAACTGCTGACTGTAAAATAGGGCTTCTATCCTGACCGTTACAGGAAATAAAGACAATTTGCGAGTGTGTTGTGGCTTTTCTTCATACCACTTCTCCTTCATTTTCTATTACATTATGCTGTTTATGGACATAATTTTCCCACTTAAACTATTGGATATAACATTGTTTTACAACTACCATGAGAATCAGTACGCTAAGAAACAGTACTGAAGTGTGATTCAGCCTCCGAAAATAACAAAGGACAGGACCCAAAGTGGAAAGGGCAGAAGTATTGCAGTCTTCTGGTATTCACAAACAAACAAGAAAACCTTCCACTGTCAAGCCAGGAACAGTAGCTTTGGGTGATTTGGGGGGGGGGAGGGGGGGGGCTTTTTATTTTGGAGCTGGTGTGG